TTTCCCTAAGTCTATTTTAGTGGGTATCCTGTTTCAAAATACTGCTCTGCAAGCTTTTGCTTTCTGGCTGGATTTATTTTGAACTGATGTCTTACAAAATGTTTAAGGAACTCCAGTGTGTTACACACCATAAAATACAAATGCCACTTGTTTTTCAGGCAGTAAAGCTAAAGAACTTCCTTTTTCATACCTTCACTGATCTGTTTGATTTGGTTTGGTTGAGGATTTTTGCTTATTTCTGAAGACCTCTTTTTATTTATTAGTTTCATAGACCTTTATTTGCTTTCTTTTGACATCTGTTTTCTATCTTTAGCAGTCTGAACTTCTCTGTGTTTGGTTTTCAACCCATCAGTATATTGAAAGCAGAACTTCAGGCTGTTATCAGAAATAGTTGCAACATTGTTCCTGGAAAAGTTATGGAGACTATTCTGAGTACCATTGAGAGGCATTTAAAGAATAATGCAGTCATGAGGCACAGTCAACATGGGTTCACAAAGGGAAAGACCTATTTAACTAATTTGATATCTTTCTGTGATAAGGTCACCAGCCTCGTGGATGAAGGGAGGGCAGTGGATGTAGTTTCCTGGATCTTAGTAAGGCTTTTGATGCTGTCCCTCACAGCATCCTCTGGACAAGTTGTCCAACTGTGAGATGCGTGGGTTCGCGGTGCGGTGGGTGAAGAACTGGCTGTAGGGCAGAGCTCAAAGCCTTGTAGTGCGTGGGGCCACATCTGGCTGGCAACCGGTCACCAGCGGTGTTCCTCAGGCCCCAATTCTAGGGCCGGTTCTGTTGAATATATTTATCAACAATCTGGATACTGGAGTTGAATGCACCATTAGCAAGTTTGCTAATGATACCGAACTGGGAGATGCTGTTGACTCTCTTGAGGGACAAGAGGCCTTGCCGAGGGATCTAGATAGGTTGGAGCATGGGGCTGTCATCAGTGGGGTGAAATTTAGCAAGTCCATCTGCTGGATTCTGCACCTAGGAGGGAGTAATGCTGGCCATGAATGTAAGTTGGGAGAGGCTG